AAAAAAAAAAGAAAGAAAAAGAAAAAAAAAGCAGAAGTCGACAAACCAACTCACACGTATTGCTAGGAATGTCATGGTACGGACAGTACAATGTATAGTGCGGTTTCAACGTTTTTGATTGAATATTTGCCCTGAATTTTACGTCGACATCCGAAAGAAAGCAGCCATGTAGATCAGCAAAAGGGGAAGCGACCGATAAAAAGAAAGTCATAGTCACCACAAATACATCCCTTTGCTAATAACATACACAGTATCCCCAAAACAAGAAGTCTGTATGCAGTACAGCGGGAAAGTGTAACCAAACCTTTTTTTCCCATTGTTATAACGTAATTCAGGTCATTATCAAGAATGTTTCCAGAAAAAAGCCCCCCAAACCCCCCCCCCCCCAAAAAAAAAACCCAACCAAAAACAACAAAAACCAAAACAACAAACAAACAGACAAATAAAACACGTCTACTTTCAGACTTTAGATGAATTTAAGACAAAGGGGGGAAGAATATTCGGATCCCACTGTGGTATTTATCTTATGTTACCTTTCACTTCCAACGGCGTAGATCTCGTGGGTCCCCGGGCGCCCGGCGACTGCTGTGTGTTGTCTCTGTTACTGCTAGGACTGACGCTCTCTCTTCTCACGTTGAGTTTTCAGTCTCCAGTCGATCTTGTTTGTACTCACCAGTGCACGGGGAAAAACTGCTGCCCGTGCACAACCAATTGGTCAGAAAGTCGTCCCCAAAAACTAGTCAAGTTTTGGAGACGTGAAAGGCTAAAATATTGGCCATACACCACTATCTTGTACTTCCTTATTTTACTTTTTCGGTTCTGACATTACATGCATTATTAATGAGTGGTAGAAATTCTGTACACCCCGCCCGCCCCAAGCCTTGCTTAAGACTAGAATTATACAGATTGGAAGCGAAAGGAAAAATTCAAACACAAAGAGTCAAAGGCACTTAAAATTTTAAATTACGGCCATAGGACCCTAAAAGGGCCTCTTAAATATCACAAGCCCGAAGCCCCCACTGCCAAACCCACATAATGAACGGGCTACTAACTACAATGTCAAAACATTCAAACTGACTTTCACTTTCTATTCCGCCAAACGAAGTTGGACACATTTTAGCTATAAAATGAGACTTTCGTTTTGTAAATAAGGCAATACTGAATAATTAATCTTATCATAAGCCATAACTACTTCCCACTAGAACTAGAACTTGATACGGGCGGTGTATGAGAGTATATCAATTTAGCAATGGTGGTGTATGATGTCATCTTTAGGAAAGG